GACAATAAGAGACAAAAGAAAGTAGGGTTGAGAGAGCCACAAACCCTGATTACATTATTTGAACACTTGGGTTCATCTATGTTCTGTAGCTTATTCCACTTTGGGCTTCCAGTTATGTGAGTGATGAATCCTTTTCTGGGGGTAGACTTAAGCTAGGTTGAGTTGGACTTCTGATACTTGTAACTGAAGCATAAGGAAAGAAGTGGATGGCTTTGAGATAGCTTTCAGAGACAGAATCATAGGACTTACTGGTGGATTTGATACGAGAGATGAAAGAGATCAAGGTTTAAACCTAGCTTTTGACTTAAGCAACTGGTATAGACTTACTGTTTACTGAGATGGAAAGTAGAAAAGGCAGAGAGAATAAAATCAAGAGTGCCTTTGTGGACACATCAAGTTTGAGATTCAGTGCCACTACAAGTACTTTGTTATGAAAGATGCCTCATTTCTGAGTTATTTGGAATAATTTGATCACTGATTGCATCTCATCTTCAATTTTTTTCCAAGGGTGTTATGGGTCCATAGATGTTTGCATGCTTGAACATGTCTGCCTGTCAACTTGGCTGATGATAACATTCTAGGGTTGTGTGCTTTTTTGAAAAAAAATTTTTATTTTTTATTGAAGTGTCATTGATTTACAATGTTAGTTTCAGGTGTACAGCAAAGCAATTCAGTTATACATATACATATACATATATATATTTTCAGATTCTTTTCCATTATAACTTATTACAAGAAATTGATATAGTTCCCTGTCCTATACCCCTTGTTATCTACTTTATATATAGTAATATGTATCTGTTAATCCCAAACTCCTAATTTATCCTCTCCCCAACCCTTTCTCCATTGGTAACCATAGTTTGTTTTCTATGTATGCAAGTCTATTTCTGGTTTGTAAATAAAATGTGTATTTTTTTAAGATTCCACATATTAGTGATATTATATGATATTTTTCTTTTTCTGTCTGACTTACTTTACAACCTCAATTTTTTTCCAAGGATGTTAATGGGTCCATAGATGTTTGCATACTTGAAAATGTCTGCCTATTAACTTGGCTGATTATAATATCCTAGGGTTGTGCACTTTGCCTCCATCCTCTGAGAATCTTCCTATACTGTCCACTGATGGTCTCTGGGGAGAAGACTGAGGGAGGCTGGCCTGATTTTCTCCCTTCTGGTCAGTGATTTGTGGTTTTGTTTTGTTTTGTTTTTGTCTGGATGCTTGTAAGAACCTTTCTTTATCCTTGAAGTTCAGTGATTCACCAGGATGGTGTCTATTTTTACAGTTCTATTTAGGTTTTCATCAGAACATGAGGATCTTTAAAAAAAATTTCTTTCAGATTCAGTCTTTCCTTCATTTGAGGTATGTTTTCTTCTAATACAAACATTTTTTAAACTTTTTTTTATTGATTTATAATCATTTTACAATGTTGTGTCAAATTCTGGTGTAGAGCACAATTTTTCAGTTATACATGAACATATATATATTCATTGTCACATTTTTTTCTCTGCAAACATATATTTAAATGTGTATATATTTCTGTTCTAATTAAGCCATTTGCTATGAATTGAGTTGTGTCCTCCTAAAATTCATACATTGAAGCCCTAACCCCAGTGTGACTCATCTGGGGACAGAGTCTTTAGGTAACTGAGATTAAATGAGATCGTAAGAGTAGGGCCCTAATCTGATAGGACTGTGGTCCTATAAGAAGAGGAAAAGAGAGGGAAGTCTCTCTCTCTCCATCATGTGAGGACTCGGTGAGAAGGTGGCCATCTGTAAGCCAAGAAGAAAGCTCTTATGGGGACCTCGCTATACTGGCACCCTGATCTCAGACTTCCAGCCCCCAGAACTGTGAGAAAATTAATTTCTGTTGTTTAAGCCACCCAGTCTGTGGTTATTATGGCAGGCCAAGAAGACTAACACACCATTCTCTACTTCAGGGATATTAATTACCTGCATCTTGAATATCTTTTTATCTTTTCTCACTATAATTATCTTTATTTTGTCAATTCTTTTTCTCACATATTTTCTCATTTATTTTAAGTGAAAAACAGAAGGTACAGAACAATTATATAGTTTGCTACCATTTACATAAAGAGGGTGTGTGTATTCAAATATATTTGCAAAAAGAGAACATTGGAAATATAAATTATATTTAATAAATATAAATAAGAAAAAGATATTTTCTCATGTATATCTTGCAGATCTCAGATTTCTGCTAGTAAATAGAGCTCTTCCTTATTTTTAAAATTGCATATTACTTCATTGTTTAGATAAACAATAGTTAATATAACTAATCCCCTATTGATGGACATTGGGCTGTGTATAGTTCTTTACCGTTACGAACATTGCTGCAATACAGAATCTTGTATGTATGTCATCTCATACTTGTGCGAGTATGTCTGCAGAGGAGAGTCCTAGAAGTGGGGTTGCTGGGTCAGTATACAACATGCAATATGGCAATATGTTCTTTTGGAAATTCTGAATAGTTGCTGCGTTGCTTATTTTGAGCCCATTTTTTTCTTTTTCTATGTTAGTCAAGTTTTCCCAAATATAGCATAAACAGACTTTCCCTAATCCCCTTCCTACTGATCTGGGACCTTTTTGAATCCTGTCCTCTAACTGAGCTTGAGGCGGATGATTCATAGTTTGTCTTCTGTTGTATTGTTGTGATCCTGCAGAAATGACTGAGGCCTCTATTCTGACTACATTGCAGCCCAGCTTCTCCCTGCCCAGGCCTGCTTCCTTTCCTCTCCAAAAGCACTGATTTCAAGAGTGCTCTCCAGTAAACTTTCCATGCAGAAACCTCCATTTCAGTGTCAGCAATGTGGTGTTAAGATGCATTTCCCTGATGACCAGATGGGTTGAGCATTTTTTTCATGTTTGTGAGCCATTTAGTATTCTCTTTTGGAACTCACTTGATCTCAGCCAAAAGGCTGAGAAGCGATAATCTGTTCTGGAACTCATCTATTCAAATCTCTTGCCTATTTTTCTATTGGGATGTCTTTTCTTAGTGACTTGTAGGGATCTTTAGATATTCTATATACGAGTCATTTGTTAGATGTGTGTGTGTGCTAGATACCTTTGCTTATTCGGTATTACATTTTCTCCCTTCTTGGTGTCTTTTGTGGAACAGAAATTCTTAATTTTGATATAATTGCATTTAACATTTTTTCTTTATATTTAGTGGTTTGGAGTCAAGTTTAAGAAATCTTTTGTCTACTTCAAGATCATTAATATGTTTTCCTTTTTTTTCCCCTAAAAGCTGCATTACCTTACCGTTCACATTTAGATCTGTATTTCATCTGAAATTGCTGTTTTGTGTATAGTGGAGGCAGGGGTCAGTATACGTTGTTTTCCACGTGGATAGCCAGCTGACTCTCGGCCGTTTATTGAAAAGGCCCTGTTTCCCTGTGTTCTATAGTGTCACCTTTGTTATAAATCAAGTGACTATATACCTGTGAGGCTTTTCTGGAATTCTATTCTATTTCATTTGTCAGTTTGTTTATCGTTAAGTGCATCTCTTTTGACTCTCACTTTCTGCTTGTCCTACAATGTTTTCCTCTGTATGTATTACTTTCCCTTACTAGGCTTATTTTCTACAAAGATGAGCTCCATTGTGATCAATCTTTTTATGAGAGCATTTTGTTCGGACAAAATTTCAGTGCATAATTACTTCAGTGCATAATTGCTAGTTGTTGAACATTACAAGCATCTAAATAAACCTTCTTTAAAAAAAAACAGTCTACCTGCATTATCACACATTTAAAAAGACACTTGGTATGAAAATCTTCACCTGCTCTTTATGTTTTTTCCTGTTCCATTCCATTGAACCATAACTGTGGTTGGAGAAAACCTTGTATTCTCATTTTCTCTGGCTGTTACTTTTTATCTGTGTTGGACCAGTAATGAGCCAAAATACTTCCTCATCTACATGGCGAGGGTCAAGTTTGGCAAATTCTAACACCAACTTTTAAAGGATTGAATGCCGAATGTTTTGGTAGATGTATGTTGTTCCCAGTTCTTCACGCTTTCCTTGTGTTAAATTTTACATCGGTGCCCTTTGCCATGTGATGTTGCAGTGCCTCCCACTGGAGTGGTCAGAGCTTCTTTCCCTGTTGTGCTGATACCGGGCTTGGCTGTGGGGTTTGCCCTGGCCAGCGGAATGCTTAGCAGGTGTTGTGTGAGAAGGCTTCAGCAAATCTGTGAGATTTGGCTTGGTCTCTTGCTGTTACAACAACATGTTCCAGCTGGTGGCTGGTCTGAGGAGGGTGAGGAGACACATAGAACAGGGCTGTATTAGTTTACTAGAGTTGCCATAACTAAATAACACAGACCAGGTGGCTCAAAGAAGAGACATTTATTTTCTCGCAGTTCTGGAGGCTAGAAGGCCAAGGTTAAGGTGTCACCAGATTTGGTTTCTTCTGAGACCTTTCTCCTAGGCTTGCAGGTGGCTGTCTTCTTGCTGTGTCCTCACATGGTCTTTCCTGTGCCGTGCATCCCTGGTGCCTCCTTGTGTGTCTAGATTTCCTCCTCTTTTAAGAACACCAGTCAGATTGGTAGAGGGCCCACCCTAACTACCTCATTTTAACCGCATCACCTCTTTAAAGGCCCTAAATCCAAATGCAGTCACATTCTGGGGTGCTGGGGGTTAGGACTTCAACGTATGAATTTGGAGGGACACAATTCAGTCCAAACCAAATCTGAAGACAAGTCCAGCCCATCCCAGGAGGCCAGCACAGCCAGACTTTTTAGCAGACCCATAAGCTGGAAACAAATGCCTGAAGTTGTAGGCCAATGAGTTCTGGTGTGGTGGTGTTTATCATATAAGATTATTGGAACAATAGCTGGCTAGGTAAATGTATCATTGCATTCACTATTTTTGTTCATTGAGGGGAAATTCACGTAACATACTATTAGCCATTTGAAATTATACAATTCAGTGATACTTCATATATTCACAATGCTGTTTCTTTAATTTCTAATGTGCAGTGTCAGAGATACTTTAACTGGAGGAAAATGTACATATATTTTTTTCTCAATGCAAAAATGTTTTTCTGGAAATGAAAATCTCATTGTAGTAGTATCTAAAAATTAAAGCATATCCTACACTTGGGAAACAAAGAGTGAAAAGAGGAGGAACTTGGTGTTATCCAAAGTATTTTTCTTTCCTCACAGTCATGTCTGTTCCAACAATGTCCCTGCAAAACTGCATACCCTTTAATTAATTTCTTTCTTCTTTCAGTATTTGCTGAATGACTACCACGTGCTGGCCCTGCTGTTGTGTCTGGGAATTCAATGGTGGGGAAAAAAGGCCGAAAAATCCCTGCTTTCAGGGAGCATACAAATTCTATTAGGGGAATCAGATTAACTCAGATAAGTAAATAAATACCATGTTAAATAGTTCAAAAGTGCTAAGAGAAAAACTAATAGGGAAGATTGATACAAAGTGTTTAGTGTTTTTGAAATTTTATATAAGGTGATCAAGAAAGGTCTCACTGAGAAAGTGATTTTTAAATAAAGATCTGAAAGAAGTAGGAGAGGTAGCCATGTCCAGACGTGAGGGAAGTGTGCGCTGGGCAGCAAGTGCAAAGGTTTGAGGCAGAAGTGTATTTTCTCTGTTCTAGGACTATGACTCAGGAGCAGGGACAGGGAGGGGAAGTGAAGCAGAAGATGAGATGAGAAAGCACTAACGGGCTGTATTCCATAGAGCTTTGTAGATCATTGTAAAAGCTAGGCTCTTTCTGAGGTGAGATGGGAGCCATTATAGAGTTGTGAGCAAGGGAGTGGGTGTGACCTACTGCAGGGAAAATGGATCACCGTGTGGCAGGAGCAGGCACACTGATACCACTGTAGGGGCCATTGCAGAAATCCAGGCAATGAGATGAGGCTGTGTTGGACCAGAAGATAAGAGTAGGGGTAGTGAAAAGGGATTGAATTCTGGGTATATTTCACAAATAGAGCCAACAGGATTTGCTAACAAACTGGATGTAGGATGTGAAAGAGAGAGAGGAATCAAGAGTAACCCTGAATAACTCAAAGAATCGAATTGATAATTGAGGTGAGGAAGACTGTAGGATGATCTGTTTTAGGAGAAACATGAATAGCCCAGTTTGGACAGGGTGAGTGGAGATGACAGCAGGCAAATGGTCATTTGGGTCTAGAGTCAGAGGCGAGGTCAAGGCTGAAGATATAAATTTAGAAGTTGTCATGTAGAAAGATTTAAGCCCAAGAGACTGAGTGAGAGCACATACAGGGTGAGTACTGCTGGAAAAGAGAAGAGCCCGCAGATGGAGCCCTAGGGCACTTTAATGTTTAGAGGGTGGGGAGAGGAGGAGGAGTGAGCCAAAAAGGAACTGCTCAGAAGGGAGGAGGAAAAGTAATCCAGGATGGTGTTCTGAAAGCCTAAGAGAAGAGTTTTCAAGGATGAGAGAGTAACTCAACATTTTTATGTTATACATAACATTTCCCCCATTTTTTCCCCAACCAGTGGTGATCCCTCCTCTTCAGCTAGAAGAATGACAATGTTCAGGAATTTAAAACTTATTCTCTGGAAGAATTTCATTTTAAAGGTGGGTATGGTTATCTGTGGGGAATATGTGAGTCTCCTTGGGAGGAAGTGAATGCTTTAGTTAAGTTGGTTTTCTAATATTGGAGTAAAGAAAAAAAGAAGAACTTGACTTGTAACAAGGTGCCCTTTTCTGCAAAAATGAGCCATGTTTCCATAGGAATTCTGTTAGCCTTAATTATTGAAGATAGCATCATAGTGGCTAATACCTAGCCACTGGTGTTATAGAAAAGATAAAAGGAGATGTTTCTAGATAATTCTCATTGTATTTTTTTCTTTCTCATGTGTTGTCCAGGGATGCCGGAAGAAATGAAAGCGTTCTTAGTGGAAGGACATTCACCGTGTAGCGACTTACACTTGCGTTCTAAGATACAGCTTTTGTTTTTATTTTAGAAAAGAAAGACTCTGATAACAGTCCTTGAAGTCTTGACGCCATTGCTGTTTTCTACAATTGTAACGTACCTTCGTTTTGACAGTTTGCCAAGAAAAAGACTTCCTGTTGACCACGACACAATTGATATCACTTCACTGCCAGAATTCTTCAATCAGTTTCCTCTGAGAAATAGATTTCAACTAGTTTATATTCCTTCCAAAAGTGAAACTTTGAAGAATATCGCTGAAATGGTGGAAAAAACCTTTGATGTTGAGTTTGAAGTTTAGACATAGCAATAGGGTAAGGACAGGGAGGGCATTTTTATGAAGTATAGTTTAAAGATTTTTTTCCTGTGAGTTCTTACAGTAGTGGTTCCAATTCTGGGGACTCCGAACTCTAAAAAGTCTGCAGAGGTGGTAGCTGGGGGAAAGCAGTCCACAAGTTATTTTTATTATTTCAAACAACACTCTAGAGACTTGTGCATTTGTGTCACAAGGCTTCAAGGTTGATTAAATGTTCAGTATTTGTCTTTAACTCACTAGAATGACACTGGTTATCTCATATTAACCAGAAGCCATGATTTGCAATTATAATATGTCTCTGACTAATAAAAAACAGGACATATTCAGATTCTGAATTAGCCTTCTAACTGGTCCCTTTCTTCCTTTTCTTGTCCCATTCTCATCCAGTCTCTATATGGAGCCAGAAAGATCTTTAAAAGATTGGTAACATCTAGCCAGTCTCCTGCTTAAGCCCCTTGGGTGAGTCTGCATTGCACTAGGGTCAACCGGACCTTTCCCCAGTCTTCCTGCATCCTCTCTTCCTTCTGCTCTCACGCTTTGGTGGAGTTGCCACCTTTCTGTTCCTGGAATCTGTGAGCCTTTCCTCCCTTCTGACAGAATGCTTTGACCCCAGCTCTTCTGTGCGTTGCTCCTTCTTATCATTGAGGTTTCTGCTAAAGTGGCACTTAGGAATGTAGATTTTAGGTTTCTCACCTCTGTCTTTTTCTCTCTCACAGAACCCTGCTGGATATGTTCATAGTATTTTGATAAATATTTAATTACATTGCCAGTCATTACTTTCTGTGTGTGTCTGCCCTTCCCTGCTAGGCTTCGCCTCCATTGTTTTTCACCTGTTTTTGCGGGGGAAGGTGTAGAAAAGCTTTTTCTCTAGAGATAGTTGATCTCATTACTAAGGTGTGACTCTTCTGAATGCCTCAAGTGATCACCAGGAACTGTCTGTGTGGACAGGTCAGATCTCAAATGCCTCCTGGTCTTCTGTGGGCTCTGGGCCCCTCTTAGCTCAGACTCTCCTGTTTGCCCAGCAGGGCATGTTTTCGTGCTCACTGAAGGCATCCTCTGTGCGGACTTCTAGGTTTGTTTCCCTGCGTAGCCTGCTTTACTTGGGAACTCGGCCCTGCAACTCTCAGCCGTTTCAGACTCTTCGAACTCCAATCTCTGTCAACTCAGCCACGTAGCTGTGTTCCACTTGGGTTTCCCCTCCCTGTTCTGTGGTATGAAATGTGCTTCCAGACAGAAAACCACGGCAATCTTAGTGGCTGCCTTGTTTGTTTCCCTCTTCTCAGGAATCCTAATGCTTTGCTGCTTACTGTCCATTGTCTGAAAAACTTGATACTTTTTTCCCTGTCCAGTTTTCTCATTATTTATGTAGGAGGGTAAATTCAATCTCTATTATTCCATCATGGTCAGAAGCATAAGTCATAGTTTTTTTTTTTTAACATTCAAAATAAATTGGCTTACAGAGATTGTGTCATGATGATGGAACTGGAGGGCGGATGGTAGGTGAGTGACTCTTCACCATTTAACCTTTAGTATCATTCGAATTTTTACCATGTGCATGCCTGTTGCTTTTTAATCTAGTTAATGAATTCTCGTTAGTATTTTCAGAGACATTTGAGAAAATGTTGCCAATCCAAAAAAAAAAAAGGACCCCTATGGAAAGAAACAGAAGGAGGACTTGGAAATTAAAAATGATTATCAAAATAAGTTTCATGGATATAATAGAATGGACATGTTTGAAGTCCAGTTGGTGATCTGGAAGATAAAGGCAAGGAAGTTTCTGATAATGTAAAGCAAAGAGACAAAGAAATGGAAAATATGAAAGATGAGGGGATAGACATGAAGGGCAGGTCTGGAAGTCCCACCTTGGTCTACTCGGGTTTCTAGAAGGAAGAAAGGAGACAACTGAGGTGGGGGAATCAAAGCTACACAGAAAAGATTTCTGGAAGAGTACTGGCATTTTCAGCTTGCTAAATTTCACTAGTTACAAGCAGGAGAAATGAAAAATAGCAAATGTGGGCACGTATTAGTGACATTTCTGAACCCAGGGATTGAAGAATAGAAGTCCTACAGGCTTCTGGTTACCTACAAGGAATCAGACATCACACCCAGCAACACTGCATGCTAAATTGTGTAGTAACACCTTCAGCATTCTGAGAAAAGCATTTTCAAGGCAGATCCTGTATTAAATTGTCAATTAGATGTGAGGGCCGTTGACTGTAGAAACGATTTCTCTTGTCAGAGCAGCTATATTTCTTTATGATTTTGTTTCCCGCTTTTGGTTGTTATGACCATGAAGAAAAGGCTGAAATGGAGCAATAGCTATTTTCTCATTGACATGGGCAAGAATTGAGCTCTATCTACTGTAGCCCTAAGTGCTACTTGGCTAAGAAGAACTGGAATACAAATTTTCAGAACCCCAAAGGGGTTTAGACTGTTACCATTTGACTTATATTCCCACTGCTTGGCGTAGCTCCGCGCATCTTATACAAGATGCACTCATTTGTTTGCAGAATGATGGAGTGAACGAATGATGTTTGCCAACCCTCAGCTGAGAAGCTGGCAATCCCACGTCTCCTTCAGTAGAAAGGGAGTAGTTGAGCAGCATTTGCCTTCCTAACAGCTACTCACTGACTGGATTTTTCTCTCTGTAGTTCTAGGCTATTCTTCGTGCCTTCGTCTGAAAATTACATAATTCAGGATCCCAAAGCTTTCTACGTATTGACTGGAATTGTTTTCAATCACAGCTTCAGTGACAGCAAAGAGCCCTTGCCACTCGAGGTAAGAGCATCTCTTCCATCACCGTCTTATGCTACCCAGCCTTGAGCATGAGTTCACTAAGGGGTCTTGTTACCGGAGCTGCCCCTCTGCTTTCCTCTATGTCAGCTTTGTCACCTGGTGACCATCTTATTTCCAGAGGAGATAAGAGAATCCTCCTGATTTCATCCTGGACTGTGAGAGCCCTTCCAGTTTTCAGATTCTTTAGAAGACTTTTTTGGAGCAAGCCTCTATCCTGAGAGTACAGGACGACATATGTTCAACAGCTGGGTTATAGAAGCGAGCCCTAATGCCAGACTCCGTAGTCTTGAGTCCCAGCTCTGCAGCTTCCTAACTGTGTGACCTCGGGACAGTTACTAACATTCCTGGGCCTCAGTTCCCTCATCAGTGTGGTGGGATTAATAGTACTTCCTAACTCATAGAACTGTTGTGAGGATTAAATGAATTTATACCTACAAAATGCTTAGAACAGAACCTGGAGCAGAGGCATTTTCCAGAAGGAATAGTTGTCATTACTGCTGATCTCACAGACTTCAGATATGGCAGATCTGTTTGTTTAAGGAAAAGGCAGTTTT